CATCTATGAATTTATAGCAGTTTTGAAGGAATGTTTTCTTTAAGCGCTAAAGGATTAAATTCCCTTGAAGTTTGTCTAATAATTGATAGCAGAAAACAGTTGTATATTGAAGGTTGCTTAAACATTTCTGAACGAGTTTGATGCAATACATAGCAACCAAAAAAAGTCTAGATCTGACTCTTGTTCTCAGTTTAATCTTTTGAGTTTGTGGTATCTTACGGTGTAGCCCCAAATATTCCTTGTTCAATTTCAGTATATTCAATAATAAAATTTTTCGATCCATCTTCGATCCTTCACTATTTGATACTATATACCAACCAATGTGATAAATATTAGGTATATATATCTATGCGCGGTGGTTAAATTGTCGACATTTTATATTTTTAATTTCGCGCATGCGCGTTGTCTGTTTTTGATTTTTTTCAACTACCCAGTATAGTAGGATCTGTTGGGCACGGTCCGTGAGAAAAAAAAAAGCAACATGATGCAATTCACTCCACCATAAATTTGAAAACGGAATGCTGTACTGCTTGGAATTCCGGAAACATCAATACGAACATTTCAGAGGGTTTAGGCGTCAATCAGAGGACTGTGCAGAGGATTCGGAAAGAGTTGGATGAGTCTAATGGTGATTACGGAGGTGCTTGAAGTGATCAGTATTGATGGCAACGTTATGCCTCCAATCGTTTTCCCACAGGGCCTCAGACTCAACACGGAGACCTAAATAATGTTCCTTGAGGGCTAGTGTTAGCCTGGGTCAAGTCGGTGGCTATTGGAAGAACCTATGTCCGGTAACAGGACTGAACCATGCCACACAATCAGGAGAATCCAGTCATGGCTGTCAGACAATTTCTGCGACCACATCACGCCTTACATCTGGCCACCTAATACCTGTGATTATTATGTGTGAGGCGCAGTTGAGCGAGAGACCAACAAAACTACTTGTGTACCAAATATGAACTAATGGCGAGGACTATGGCAGCGTTCACTAACTTAAACAAGGAGACAATCCAGAAGATTTGCAGGAAATTCGGAAGTCGTCTTGAGACCCTGGTTGAAATTAATGGGATATTATTGTTAGAGTGGAACACACCTATTCTATAGTTAATAGACACTCCCGCCTATAAGTAAGAGTAACAAGTCAGTCAGTTAGTCAGTCGATGTCAGACGACCATCTGAACGGTTCAACTCGGGCGGGGAGGAACCCGAAAGAGGGTACGCCGAAGGGCGGATTCTCTTTCAGGGAGGTAAACTGACCCTGAACCCGTTTATACGGGTTCAATGGGCATATTTTTGGCCGAGCCCACGGGCTCAGAAATCCCACAATGAATAACCGACCTTGTGTCACATGATGCCCCAGTGGGTGGGTGGGGGGTGACTGAATATCCAGTCGATGTCAGACGACCGGCTGAACGGTTGAACTCTCTGCCTTAGGGCGGGGAGGAACCCGAACGAAGTTACGCCGAAGGGCGGAGTCCCGTTCGGGGACGTAAACCGACCCTGAACCCGTTTTTACGGGTTCAAAGGGTATATTTTTGGCCGTGACCACGGGCTCGGAGATCCCACGTTAAACCGGCCTTGTGCCACATGATACCCTCGTGGGAGATTGACTAAATACTAGTCGATGTCGGACGACAGTCGAATACTAAAGTATCAGCGACCACCACTAGATTTCTCTGCGTCATTACCTATTATAGCAAGTTCCTAACGCTTTGTACGTCGAACCTATTTTAGGACCGACTTTAGTACAAATACAAGCCTCCACTGTGAAATCACTCCACAAAAATTGAATAAATTTACTCTTTAGTATTTCAAGATAATTTTGTGTAATTTTGGTAAATATATCTGTTACAAGGAGATGTCGGTGTTTTCATTTTTACGTAATTTATACAATAATTTATCAATCCCACCCCGTATATATATTTTTACAGTGAGATCCACCCTGTACAAACCTCAGGATCCACACGAGGTAGCAGGTTACGGAGTAAGAAGCACAATTTGGGCTATATGGAGAGGATGACAATTAACCCTAGTCTTGAACAGGTTAAGATTATAGTGATCGGAAAAAAAATCATTTTGGGAAGCTATTTTTGGAAAGAAGCTGTTCGAGTGGAACTTACTTCGCACCAATGAAATGATGGTGGTTACCTACAATGTGCGTCGCATGACGGGTCTTAGTCGTGAATGTTAAATCTAATCGAACTAAAGAATGTAGTTTGTCGGAACAATTTAAATGTAAATAGATAGAGCAGTGAGAGGCTTCCTACGTTTCCTCTGTAACAAAGAGATTATAGAGTGGAAAATAATTTGTCACCCACAATGAGGCAGAGGCGCTTTTGGGACTCTATCGAGACTGGGAAGTTAAGACTGGACAGCATCTGCCCCAATATGACATCATTACTTCTATCTGGCTCTTGTAAAAGTAGCAAGAGTAGTCAGGTACTTACTAGAGCGTTACATGGATACGACCATTTTTTTCCCGGCATCTTTATCGATAGATCGTATGCACAAGTTACACTTGAGGTCTGGGTTGAGTTTCAGATGCAGTAGTTCCTCCAGGTACGAGGTCTACCTGAGGATACATGCATTCATCGTTATTGGTCATAGTTCAAGGTCCGGAGTACATAGTTATGTTAAGTTTCCACACACACACACACACACACACACACACACACACACACACACACACACATACATATATATATATATATATATATATATATATATATAATATATATATATATATAGTTAATATAAAAGAGAACGACAGGTTTTAACACTCTATCTCTGACATTGATCACTTTATCCTATAAGTCTGATATTTAAAGACTATATATATATATATATATATATATATATATATATATATATATATATATATATATATATATATATATATGACTGTTTATGTTATATAAGGAATTTTTTTTTAAAAAAAAACGATACTATCAGATTTTTTAACATCCTCTGGGCATGCATTTGAACATAGTTTATATTTTCAACCGTAACTTAAGTAAATGTCAATCCTTTTCAATGATGTTTTCTGAGACAAGAAGCAATTAATTAAATATTTAGCCGGATTCACTTAATTTTAGATTGACTGATATTCCAAAATATCTTGTAACAACAGTGACCTTATGTGGAGCGACTCTTTGTTTCTGGGAAAAGAAGGAATGTACATTTTGACTCAAAGTAGAGAGAACAAATATTAAACTGATCTTAGACAGAACACTACTGAGCTGAAGAGTATACAGATAATAAAATTATACTAAGCAGAACGCACAGATACTACTCTGGACAGGGCACAGGTACAACAGAACAGCGGACGGGGCAGTTACACTAAGATTCTAAGCAGAGTGTACAGATGTTATATTGAGCATAGAAAGATAATTGAGAGCTACATATTAATTCTAGTAATAGTGCACAGATACTACACTGATCTTAGACATAAGACTGAGAAGCTTATTTTGATTCTACACAGAGCTACAATGATCCTAGTCAGAGAATTGAGGAGATAAACTTTGATTCGATTTAGCATCCATAGATACTGTAATAATCCCTACTCAGTAGTGAGTTGTGAGTCAGTAGTTCACTTTTGAACCGACTGCTCGGTTGAACTCTCTTCCTACGGACGGGAGGAACCCGAAGGAGGCTACGCCGAAGGGCGGAGTCTCCTTCGGGGAGGTAAACCGGCCCTGAACCTGTTTATACGGGTTTAATGGGCATATTTTTGGCCGATCCCACGGGCTCGGAATTCCCACGGTAAAAAGGCCTTGTGCCACATGACACCCTCGTGGGGGGTGACTCAATATCGTAATGATCCTTAGATATACTTTGATTATTGGCATAGTGCACCTATATTATGCTGATATCATGAAGAGTATTGAGGGGCCACGCTTTTATTTACGGCAATGAGTGCATATACTGTGTGCATATACTTCAGTAGGGGAGATATACTTTAATCGGAGCCAGAGAGCACAGGTACTTCACTAATTCTAGGCTGAGGAGCCCAATCCATATTTCCATCATTGAACAATGCCTGTTTTTTTTTTTTAACTTTTTGATATAAAAATATTTACTGGATTCATTTTTGATACGTATGCAGACGGTTTGTTACCTGCATAAGATCTGGATTATTCTAACATCCTTCCCAAATATGCCATTATTAGTAGTTTCAACAGTTCTTTGGGACGAACCTATAACGGAAGCACACCACCTCCATATGGATAGAAAATGAATTCAGTAAATATACAGAAATAGAAAGTGGGTGTAAGACAAGAATGAGTCGTCTCACAGGATTTATGCAACCTATGCAGGAGGCGAGAATTAGAAGTCATACAAGAATTCGTTAAGGAAACTTTTAGTAAAACGTAATGAGAAAAGAAGGCTTGGCAAAGTAGACACTCAGTGAGCAAACAGAAGGCACGAGGGACGAAAAGAAACGAGTAACCTACCTAACGAACTTGTATATGACAAAACAGCGAGGAGGATGTATAGTAAAAACACAAACATTGCTAAGAGCTACAAAGTGTAGGAACATGGGGAGGCCCATGGAGATCCACCTCCTGAAGGAACACAAAACATAGAAGAATCAGTAGTAGAAGCGACATTAACAGGAGAATAAGATAAAGAAGGAGCACCTGAAGAAGAAGCAGTAGCAGCAGCAACAGCAGCAGCAGCAACAGGAGAACACGATGAAGCAGAAGCAGTATCAGCAGAAGTAGAACGAGAAGAATAATAAGAAAAACAAAAGGTAGAAGCATCATCATCGTCAGAAGCAACAGCAGAAGAAGAAAAATGCAGCATCGGCATTAGAAGCAGCAAGAGTAACAGCAGTAGCTGAAGAATATTCAGCAGAAACAGCAGCAGTAGAATAAGAAGACAAAGCAACAACTGAAGAAAAGAAGAATCGTTATCATCAGTAGCATCAGAATAATAATAATAATAATAATAATAATAATAAGCAGAAACAACAGTAGAAGAATAATCATCAGATGCAGCTGAAGCAGCAGCAACAGAAGAAGCAGAAGAAGCATCAACAACAGAAGCGGCAGCAGAACAAGAAGCGGAAGTAGCAGCAACAGCAGAAAAAGAAGAAGAGGAAGTAGGAGCAGCATCAGCAACAGCAGGAGGAGAAGAAAAAGCGGAAGCAGCAGCAGAAGACGCATCAACAGAAGCAGCAGCAGCAGAAGAAGAAGCAGTAGAAATAGCAGCAGCCGTAACAGAAGAAGCATCAAAAGAAGAAGAAGGAAGAAGAAGTAGAGAGGTTCCCGATCATTACTTTCAAACAATGATAGAGCGCGGCCTCATGGGTGATGAATTGTTTTCCACATTACAAACCTTTATTCGACAGACGAAACTTTACTAATCTCTCACTATTCTATTAATATTGCTATGGCTGTGTTTTGGGTGAAATACATTCCTTTGTTCCATCCGTCGAGGCGTTCACCGCTTGAACTCACCCACCAAGCCACGTACAGAGTAGACTCATCCTTATTCGTCGTCATTCAGGTAGTCTCATGAGAGTGCTAACCTAATCGATACAATATTAACCTCTTCAAGGCGAGGGCCCTTCCTACCTGTTTTTTATTTGATAATGACGTAGAGTACATCCTGTACAGTGCCCAAACGCCACTCGTTGTATAGGACTACAGAGTAAGTGGCTCAGTTTATGTAGAGCTGACAACGGTTGACCCTAGACATGAACAGGTTAAGATTGTCGTGATCAGGGAGACATAATCTTAGGAATTAGTTCAGCAAAGTGTGGGAAGAACCAAGTTGAGTAGAACTTACGTCTCACCGATGGAATATGAAGATTCGCTATAAAGTGTGTGGCATGGCGGGTCTTAACCGTGAAGGTTAGAACGAATGGAACTAAGCAATGGACACTTTCCATGGAAATAGTCATAGAGGAGCGGAAAGCTTGCAACGTGTAATCTGTGGGGAAGGGATTTTAGAGTGGGAAATAATTCATCATCTACACGCTTTTAGACTCTATCAAGACTGGAAAGTGAATACTAGGCAGCTTCTTTCCATATATAGAAGTAGTACTTTTTGTTGGGCCTGATCTGTCACTTGTAAAGGAAAAGGACGTAACTACATATTTTTATCATATGTCACCCACACTTTCTAATTGTAAGCCTTATCGACATCCTATTTTAGTTACAGTCGAGTGGCATTGTAATGGGTGAACTAGGGTACAAACAAAATGTATTAAAAAGTGATTCAGTGCATGCTGAAAAGTTCTCATGCTGACTAAACACCGAAATTTTTAAGTCAAATCTAACATTCGTCCATGTTAAGAATATTTCTGCTATATATGGTCTGGTGCCCCTGCTATTTACCTTGAGCACCTTGATAAGATCCAAAGAAGAATCAGCAATATTATTGGTCATGATCTGGCGGCTCGGCTTCAGTGACTTTCCAACCGCCGTAAGTTTGGCTCACTATGCCTTTTCGGTAAATATTTTCATGGTAATTGTTCGGATGAGCTGTTCACTATGGTACCTAGACTTTTTAAAAAAATTCAAGCGCAGTACCAGAGTGGCGTCGAGATCTCATCAATTTGTAGTTGACTTAGTTATAAGTAATCGTAAATTCAACGCTAAGAGTTTTTTCTCATACTTCGCACATGTGGAACTCCCTTCTGGCTCCATGCATTACAGCCTACTTTAATCTACAAAATTCTAAATACAATGTCAATCGCTGTCTACTGACCTCTCGATTACTCGTACATCTTCCGACTCATTATTAATGTTTCTCTTCCTAATTCTTCCATAACCTGTAACTCCTTGTGTCTTAGTGGCTTTATTATCTTGCTTGGGGGTGATACCTAAAAAGATTCCTGGACATGAATATAAAAAAAAAACACTTCTTAGTCTTAGGACATTTCATCATTCCTCTTAGACATTAAAATTAAATCAATTCGGTAGAAAATAAATCACAGCTTGAAAAAAAATAATTATTTAAAATTACTTTTTTCCATTTTTTTTTTTTACAAGAAATAACTTAATCAGGAATTATACCTTAAGTAATATCTCTTTGTATAATTAATAATGAAATGATGAGAATATTAAAATGAGTAAAAATTAAATAAAGAAACTTAAGCCGTGGGGAAGAGACGTACAAATTTCTCTGAAATGAATAAATTGAAAATATCCCGGTGGAGCTGAAACAAATGTAGAAACATAATATGAATAAACGAATAAAAGAATAAAAGAATAAAGAATAAAAGATTAAAAGAATAAAAGAATACATAATCTTACTTTCGGAAAGTAGAGATGGTTGTATTTATGAATGCTATTTCTGTTTCAATTTCAGTCAAGAGAATGAAATGTAGTTATTAAATTCTCTAATGTTATTTTATTTAATTAGAAATATCATTAGAATGAAGAAAGACATAGAAGAAGAAGAAGAAAAAAAAGAAAAACAGACATTAATTTCGTTATATTCCGCTCGTCTCTGACAGGTATTTTTCGAATCTCTTTTCGCTTTTCATGGAATAGCTGGATTATAGCCTAATGCAGAAAAAAATAACCACACATTCAAATTAAGAAGACCTTATTTCCTACGTATTTGATATCTATTTTTATGTGAATAATTTTGTGTAATATACAAAGCTAATTAGATTCTCAAGAGAAATTGCAGATACTAGAAGGAAAAGCACAGTTTTATATTTTGGTAAGATTCGATAGCAGCACTCTCGAGAATGTTCCCGTCTAAGTAACTTTATTTCGATTTTAAGTACAAAGATTTTAAGTACAAAGATTTTAAGTACAAAGATGCAAATCCAAAGACATCTCGACGTGGGTTAATGGTTACTGCTATTAGTTTGACCATTAATGAGTAGTAAGACCGATCCTCACTGGGTGTCCCATCAGTCAGTTATGTGCCATACGTGATACACGTTTAGGCGATCATATATCTTTCGATAAATGAGTGACGGGGCAGAATTTTTCCCGTAGTAGTTTGCCATTTCTTTCTGCGGCAGACCAATTGCCATCCAATGCTATAGAACCCTGTCTGTCTTGCTATTTAACCATAGCTGGTGGGGGGGGGAGAAGAGGATTAATACCTTTCCCAAAGGTATTAGCACGTAAGTGAATGTAATGGATTCGATTGGAATTCGAACTCGGCTCTCCAATTTCTCAACCTGAGCCGCTATCCATTATTCCACCGAGTCCGAGTGACCCATCTAAAGAAATATAATATTAAATGAGGAAAGAGGACTTCGAAAATTTAATACTCACAGGCGTGTTGAAGAAAGAAGAGCAGTGCGGAGAATAATGGTATAAAGAGAAGAGTTTCCTAGAACTAAAAGAGAAAGAATGTCGTGGAGAACCATGATCGCCCTCATCCTGAATGAATATAATGCGTAGATGATGATGATGATGATGATGATGATGAGACGTATTACGGGAAAATATGTCAATTTTTAAATATTAACTATTGTAGACTCTGTGACTTGGATGACGAAAAATATTTTTTGTGATGTCAGCGAACACTCATTGCCACTTTTGAAATGTCGACGAATACTCGTTGTCATTTTTGCGATGCTCGTCGTAGTAGAGACTTTGTAATCGCAGATACAACTATAGTACGCCACTGAACAATACTGGTGTCAGACACCTTCGAATAACACTCGAACTAATAGTACTTGCTCAATAATACTCGCTCGAATAGTAACCACCGAATAGTAATCGAATAGTGATCCAAGTAGTAATCCGTATAGTGATCAGTACAGAGAAATAGTGTAGAAATAGGGAATAGTATAGAGAATAGCGATCCATATAGTAATAGAGGATAGCATAGAAATAGTGATCCAAAGTGTGATAGAGGATAGGATAGAAATGATGATCAATTAGACTCTACGCTCATACCCATGTATAAATTTCCTTTACGGATCCCGTGATTCAAAATGGGATTCTTTGTGTTTGCTTGCTGGTCATCTGTGTTCAAACCTAAGTGTCGGCAGCGGCACTTTATTCCTATACAACAATTTTAATGGTGAATTAAATCAATGACATAATTCTTTAAATAGTGCATCATTACGAGCACACCAACAGTTTCGTTTCATCCTAGACAGAGACTCTTAGATTCCCCAGTGATGATCGAAGTATCTACTAAGTAGTAATGGACAGCAATACTCACTCACTCGTTCCATTGAAGTTCGCAACTTACAGGAACGCGAGGAGGCGGAAGACAGAGCCACAAGCGAGAAGTGCGAGAGAAGAAGCTGTTGGCATAGAACACAGGATTATATCTAGACATTTTAACATTCAAATTATGAGACCTAGCTGCCAATCAAGTACTGCGCTTAAATTCATAACATCGAAGTACCAAGGAAAAACATCATCCGGAAAGTTAACGTTAAAATATTTATAGAAGAGGCAAGAGAAAGCAACATTACAGGAGTCGGAAAGTCACTGAAGCCGAGTTGACAGGTCATTACTGATAACGTTGAAGTTTGTTTGGATATTGTCAAAAATCTTTAGACAAATAGCAGAAATGGTAGACAAGATGTGGCAACAATATATATATATATATATATAAATTGGTGTGTTTATATATATAAATTGGTGTTATCTCCGACTGATGCCAAATCGGTCGGGTTTCGATTCCGGCTTGAGGCAATCGGATGTCTAGACACACTGTCTGTGGATGGCAATATATAAATATATATATATATAGTTTCATCTGACACAAGAACAGCTTATAGATTCTCCAATGATGATCGACGTATCTACTAAGTAGTAATGGATTGTTTCGCTCATTCACACCATAGCAACACCCCCACTGTATATCCGTGCACACACGCACACGCACATGCACACGCAAATACATCCGCACTTTTGAAAGTTATCGGTCCAAGCTATTCCTAAAAAAAAAAATGACGTTGCTTATGTCCACGTGCGTTCATGATGTGCGTGTGAGAAGATGCTAAAAGCACTTGTCAATAGCAATGTAATGTGGTTAAGGCGTCTTGGTTGTGTACGGAAACTAATCAAAAACGCCACCAAGAAGCAAATTACTAGTAAAAAAAAAATATCGCACGCGAAACAGTAGAAGAACAAAAAGTAAAATTATATAAACATTCATTGTTCAAAGGAAAATTCCTCCGCCATCGAAAATGACTAAAATATTTCCCGAAAGCGGTCGGAACAATAGAAACACTAAAACACTATACACACTCAATCCGAATGAATGAAACATTTGGATACAAGAATAATTTAAATAAAAATTTAACAAAGTCTATGTACGCAAACAACAGCCCACACACAAACACACACACATGTGTTATATATATATATATATATATATATATATATATATATATGTGTGTAAGTATACTCGTCTGGAAGAGCTAGAAACATGAAAATATGTCGAAAAGCTCGCACAGATACAGATTCAAATCCCAAAGAAAAAAAACCCCGACTAACTAAAGAGCTCAATACAACCGTAGAGCAGACCTAGATAAACCTAGTGAGCCAGACAAACCTACCCAGGTTTTACCTAAGCGGATCGTCAGGGAAAGCTGGCTTAAGAGGCAAGAGAAACAACATATTTGTAGGCGATGTGTGCTTTTTCATGTGTACATGTATATACATATGTGTGAACGTTCAAATTAAACTTCCCTGTATCTCAAGAAATATAAATAGTTCGATGGGAAGGCATATATATATATATATATATATATATATATATATATATATATATATATATATATATATATATATATACACATATATATATATATATATATTATTATTATTACAAATAAGTTCATTCTTAATATTTTAAAATAAATTTTAATGAAGAGAAGAAACCTAAATTTATGCATGACACAAAATTAGAATATGAAAATTAAATTTTTTGATAAACGAATAAGCTATTTTGACGCAACCGGTAAATATAAATAATGTTTTAGAACTAAGACTATATTATATTTGAGATCGTCAACACAGTGGTTGTGAGAACTGTGTAGACAGGACTTGATCAACATGTATTCTGTGGTCTGTGTCTATTGTCTTCAGTGGGTGCATGTGAAGTGTATTGGCAAGAGAACCATGCCCAAAAGCAAGTTTTGGATTTGAAACGATTGTTTTGTCTGAAGTGCTTAAGATATTCAAAAACTTCTATATTTCTTTTAATAATTGATGATGAATAAATGTTTTTAACTTGTGTTTTAGCAATTGATTGTGGAAAAGATTTTAAATTGTTTTAGCAATTGATGGCGAAAATAAAAAAAAAATTATGTGTTAAATCTGTGTTTTGTTATTTTTAACATTACCTGCCTTTGTAATAATAAAAAAAATATTTACCGGCAAAATAGCCTGGTGGTCTATTTTACCGGCACCGGCAAAATAGCCTCTCCCTTTAATAAAACCCAAGATGTTGGCTAAGTAAAAAGTCATCCATGATTCTTCAGCCTGACTCCTATCAGATTTCGCTGAAGAACAGATAACTTAAATATACTTTTAGTAAATATGATTTTAAAACCTAAGGGAGGAAAATAAATTCTAGTGATTGAATCTGGGCTCATATCTGGTTTCCTCACGGAAAAATAATCATTGGTCTGAAAGATCACTGTGAGGGAAATGAAGAATTCTTCAAGAGAACTAGAAGAATATGGTTTTTCTTCATCTTGATAACAGAAGCAACTTCTTTTAAAATTTTGAACAAATAAATTTGGATAATTCATTTTAAATTCCATGTGCGAGAAAAAAAGGATATTATTGGACAAGATTTCTTTATCTATGGAATTTTCTGATTGACACAAACAGTTGACGCAAGAGGTGCAACTATGGCGATTTTCTAAGCATAGCTTAGATGTGGCACAAGGCCGAAAATACGGGGCACCCAATGAGCATCGAACTCATTTGTCAGTCGTAAGGGGACTAGCGATAAACGCCTACTAACGCTTACACCACGTCGATGAGTCCAAGAGTCGCAACTATGCTTTGTTATTTAATGTCCAGCGATAATTTAGTCATTTTATTTCCGAAGTCAAAATAGTATGGTTTTTGCCCAATCACATGCATGAAGGCATATCAAAAAATAAATTTAAATAACTTTTCTTTAACTTGCATATATGAAATCTAGAATAAGTGGAGCATTTATTTTTCTTAAGGGAATCCGCTCAAATAACATCCAAAAGCTGACCCAAGTATTAAGAAAAAGAAAAAGAATTTTAGAAATGAAGAAAAGAGTACTGAACTGAAACATTATCAGTCCTCCTATATGGCAGCGAATGCTGGACAATGTTCTTCAACTACGGATCACGCCAGATTATTTGTTTACTGCCAGAAAATGTAAGTAAAGTCTGCTCTATATAAACTACAAGTTGGCTTTGCTAGACGGGCCTACTTGAAAACGAGCAGTCAGCTATTATCTATCTATCTATCTATCTATCTATCTATCTATCTATCTATCTATCTATTACTTATTCAACGTCAGGGTTACAAAAATATATGGCTCGGGAGAACATCTATGTAAGTCTCTGTTGGTGTAAGTGTGTGCATTCCGCATCTGTGTGCTTTTTCATGTGCACATGTATATACATATGTGTGTACGTTCTAATTAAACTTCCCTGTATCTCAAGAAATATAAATAGTTCGATGGGAAGACATACATGATCATGTAAATAAACCTTTTTTTATCAGAATTTGTAAAAAATCATTATGGATGAAACAGAATTCATATGGTATCATCCATAATATTTTAACAAAGATTTTCTTATGGAAGATTCTATATTGAAGTAAAGAAAACGAGACTAAGAACTCTCCACATAAATGACAGAACCAGCCAAACTTGTCTAAATCGACACATTGTCTCAACCGGTAATGATAATGTATTGTGTTGCCATCGCTTTTCTAGAATAAAAAATACACATGTACCCTGTCATCCACCTTATTCAGGAGAAAAAGAGAGTTGTCGAACAAGGCAACGTTCCTCCATTGATACAAAGTCTAGTCTCAACGCTCATACAAACTGAATAGTCTTTGAACATTGGTCATCAAGGCTACTCTCTGACTGTGTTGCAGTTAAAAAGACCAACAGCCAACGACATCTAGTTGTACTGAATGTAGTTATCTATTCTTGCATTTTCCTTGATAAAATTTAGCTACAACGCAGTCATGACACGTTGAAATAACGGCTCTGGAAGATAAGGAACGTCGAACCTGATAAGTACCAAGATAGGTGAGGCATACTAAGTGCTGTAAGCTTCGATGTGCGGGTGGTGCCATGAATAACGGATCTGGGTTGGAAATCGGAGAGCCGAGTTCCAAATACAGTCGGTCTTGTTATATTTGTTTACATGCGTATATCCTTTGGAAAAGTATGAATCCGTATTTTTCCCCAGTTAAATAGTAAAACTTGTATTAGTAAAAAATTAATATTTCCCAAAAGCTCATACAATCTTTAAAGCTTTAAATAACCCGCAAAAGGTTGATAATTCGTAAAAAACATTATTCAAGCAAGCTCCAGCACAGTAACTCTTCTAATGGCTATACTGGGTATGTATATCTCTGTTGAATATTCGCAATGATAAGCCTTAGCTATCCAATGCGTTGTTTTCAGTTGGCACCTTTTCACCCCTAGGACTACTGCAGATAGTTATTATGAACGTGGGGACTCCACAGTTTATGTTATATCGCAACTGGTTGGATTTAGATTTTTGATAATAATAATTAGAATTTTATTAAAACTACTTATATCTTGCTTTTTGCCAATAACTGAAGGATTTAATGCATAAAAAGTATACAAACTTATTTGTTTATATGTCTGATTCTGATGTGCGGAGCTATTACGAGATAGTAGCTGTCATTTATACCACATATCACTTGTTTTAACGTTCTGGCTAATCGATGCATATTCACACAACGTCTTAGAATTTTAACGAATTGATATTAACTGTCAAGTTTTTCCTGTCTTACCAGATATTTCACACATCACTTGAAAGCTCTTCACTAGAAAAAATTACTTTTTGAAGAACATCTTTCATACTTTAATTCATACAAAATTTTGGTAAAAAAGCTTAGTTGTAATTTCTTAAAACAGAGTTTCGAAATATATACAGATTTATTGAGAAAACTTTATTAAAACATATCACCTTGCAGTTCAAGAAATGATTAGTAATGTCAGCAGAAATGAATAAAAGGTCGTTATTTAGTGAAAGTGACAAACCGGCTACACACGGGAAAAAATAAATTCAGTAAATATACAGAAATGGAAAGGGGTGTAAGAAAAGGATGCATATTGCCACCAGACTTATTCAACCTATAATGGGAGGTGATTATGAGAGACTTAGAAGTTCCAGTAGGACTCATTATTACCGATCACAGTCATAACAACATAAGATATGCAGATGACACAGTGTTGATAGCAGACATAGAAAGGTAACTGAAAGAACCCCTATAAAACATAGTGAAGGAAAGCGAGAAGAAAGGACTAAACATTAATTGCAAGAAAACTGAATTCATCGTTACCAATAAAAGGAAAAGCTCAACGTGCCAATTGAAAATACCAATGTCAAACAAGTACTACAATTTAAGTATCTGGGAAGTGTTTCAACAGAAGACAAAAAATGTGACACTGAGATACATTGGGATAGAGAAAGATGCCTTCCAAAAGCTAAGCAAAGTATTAAGAAACAGGACAATTTCTTTAGAAACAAAGAAAAGAGTGCGGAATTTTTACTTAATAGCTGTCCTACTATATGGCAGTGAATGCTGGTAAATCGCCTCAGAGATGAAAAAGAGACTTGAAGAAATAGAAATGTGGCTCTACAGAAGGATGCTGAGAATGCCATAGACTGGACATGTAAGAAACGACGAATGTTTCGAGTAAATTGAAGCAAGCATAGAGCAGTCCATCTGGTTAACACCAGAAAGAGACATAATGAGAAAAAAGGGCTTAAAAATTTGATATTCACAGGACAGAGTGAAGGCAAGAGGGGCAGAGGGAAACAACGTATAACTAACATAGTGAGCTTGTGTAAATTTTTGGCAGAACGGGCTTTAAAGAGAAAATTTATTAAGAGTTATAAAGGGCAGGTCCTCAGTTAGGGATCAATGTAAATCTCAAGGTACAAAAAACCGAAAGTTGTGGAGAACTATGATCGTGAACGTCATGAAAAGACCCGGCACAAAAGAAGAAGAAGAAGAAGAAGAAAAGATTCAACGCCATCGGATAAGTTTTTAATTTAACTGTACATAATATATTAGCTTGTCAGTAGTGTTTTCCAAGCGTAGATTAGACGTGGCACAAGGCCGAAAGTATGGGGCACCCAGTGAAGAACAAACTCTCTATTCAGTCGTACTTATTCTAGCAAGAAAAGCTTGTTAACCATCACACCACGTCGAGGTGTCCATTGATTTTCTAGGCGTATCTTAATAGTGACACAAGGCCGAAAGTTTGGGGCATCCAGTAAGGTTCGAACTCACTATTCAATCGTAACTGTTTTAGCAAGACAAACTTGTTAATGATTACACTACGCCGAGGTGCCCCCAAAAATGATATTCTAAGTGTAACTCAGATGTGGCGCAAGGCCCAATGTCGGGAGCACCCTGTAATGATCGAAGTCACTATCCAGTTATAATTACATCAAGCGAAACAAGATTGCTAGCCATTACACCACCCCGATGTATACAGATAGTCAGTCGATATATATGGAGCAAAAAGCATAAATAGATGTATTGTTTGTGAAATCTTTAAACGGCGAATATTTGCGATGATCACGTTGGCTCAAATTGCATCTCGTAGATACATGCTATAAACGGCTTCGGGGCTTGTATGTCTCAAACTCACTTCTTTGACAGCTGGTGGCGTCCATTTCTATCGATTATTTCTCTTATTGCTCGCTTTTAAAACCTTTTTGCCACTGCATTAAGCACCGGCATATTGTCGATCTCTAAATGACAACTAAAACTCGCTGAAAGACGAGCGGTTTCCCTCGCTTGAACGGTCATTTTGAGACATGACAGCTGCCGAGAGAAGGGTTGGATTAGCAGCGGGAGAATCTGACCCTTTTTGCTTGAGAGGTCAAGCGATTTAACCTTAGAGCTATCCCTATTGATTAATCATATTGGTACTTACTAAAATTTCGAAGCACCTTTCACAACAACAGACACCAGAACAATCTACTTTATACACTGCCAACTCGTGGCTTTAGCTGAACAAGATTCTGCTAATAGAAAATCCATTGAAGCGTGTGAAAGAAGAGAAGCAAAGTTGATTAACAATAAGAGCGACTTCCAGGCAGAATATATAAAATGAACTTGAGGACATTATTGTTATAAATATTACGCGCAAAAGCAGTTAGAGATTTCTCGTTAAAGATAAAACCAAATCGCCGATATATATAAATAACAATATTTATTAATAACGTTGCAGTAATTCTTAATGATTTAATGCCCACCATCCCATTATATATATATATATATATATATATATATATATATATATATATATATATATATATTAATGCATGTTTCATTAAATAATATAGAGATGTTTTGTCTATTTATTTTAAGAAAATTCCTTTCATATTGTCGAATAAGCTTTTTTAGCATTATCACTGAAACACGACAGAAAATCACTATGTTGATATATGTTTTTATTGTGAATCCTGTCTAAGCTTTCGGCTTACATAAGCCATCATCAGAGATTACAAGTACATTACAATAAATTAAATAATTATATAACAAAGACGGTATTTTATTTTGTTTTAGAATGGGTATGCGGACATTTTCAACAATCATAGTTTGTTTTGTTTACATGGAAGTATGCTATGCAAAGATAAATTCGTGCATATGAAATGCAGGAAGCAAAATATCGTATTGCGGTTAATGACGTCACACATGACCACGTGAGAATAATATATAATATATATATATATATATATATATATATATATATATACTGTTTTATATGCGCCGTGCTTAGTGGGAAGCGCTCAATATCAGTGATAGAGCTAACATAATAAGTTAACTTGTATGGATATGAGTTTGCGTCCTTGGGTTTCACGCTTTTGCTATCATCAGACAAATTGGTTTGTCTGAAGATAGCAAAAGCGTGAAAATAGTACTGACATCTCATTTGAACAGATATATTATTAAAATTACGCAAAAATATCTTGAAATGCTAAAGAATAAATGTATTCAAAAAAATCACCACTGGCTTCAGCCACGGCGTCCTGACGACTTCGGAATCTCCCACATCTCATCTGGACGGTCTCCTTGTTTAAGTTGGTGACCGGTGTCATAATCTTTCCCCACTTTGTCTTTGTTGCTACAATAAGTTTTGTTGGTTTATCGCTGAACTGCGTTCTAATGTCATGTGTTCTAAACATAATTATCAAGAGGTTTTCAGCCTGAGTACTTAGATGGCTGGATGGGGTGATGTGGTCCTGGTGCAGATTCCTGTTGCCATACATAGAGGATTCCAGCAACCACTCTCTTCACCCAGGGCAGCACTACCTCCTCAAGGCACTT